ACTCTTTATGCTCCACTCTCCCTTCGAGAATTCACTTCTCAAAGGGCAATTAAGCCTTGTTTCACCTTTGAATATATAACAGCAACATCTGCTCTTTGCTATCTCCCATTATTTTTCTTCCTATTTCTTACCACCTGCCATCATGATTTGTATTTATTTACGATAAGATTAATAGAGCTGAGAACTTTGTGTATGTTCTTCATCGTATCCCTAAAATGCAGAAAAAGGGGTGGCACATTTATAAGGTACACAAGAAATAGTTAGAGAGTGATATTAGAAATATTAGAGAGTGAATACATAATACACCGGTTCAATAATATTATAAGTCATATTATTATTATAAGTAATAATAAATTATAGATAATCTTTAAATAATATTAATATACCAACAAGTTACTCTCAGGCCTGCCTACCTTTTGCATATTCAAGGAATCCCAGAATAATATATTCATTTGCCAATTGGACTTACCCAATCGGTCAACATCATCTGCCATTTTGTCCAGAAACAACAAACACACCAACGGGGAAACCACTGGCTATGACATTTTTGCACGTTTTCTCCATATAATTTTCCTTCCTTATTCTAGAACATGGCTCTGAGCCGTCGTTTGGAATGATTTCCAGTTTAAGTTGAATTGTCAGCGTCTTTATTGACGCAAATACAAACACTGGGCTCACACGCGGATGCTATCTTCCCGTCCCAGACAGATAATCCAAAGTACTGGCGTAAATTCAGACGTTCTACCCACCTAAGATTAGAAGGGAGGCAGGAAAAGAGCATTCCCTCTAAAACACATTTTAAACTTGGGATGTTTATGAGCCCAGGCTTGAGAGTTTTCTATCCAGAGACTGAAGGGAAAGAGCGTACTTTACTTTGGATATGGGGACTGTTATTTCATGGCGAAGCTGACTTTAATGACCTTGGACTAATTCATACCGATTGTGGCTCCAGTGCCATCTTTGAAATTAGGTTTCCCAGGAGCTGTGCTAATGCACGGAACCCAGGAAGATCTCCTATTTTCCTGGTCATCCTCCAGCTTTGACCTCAAGGGTTTTATTGCTTATTCTAAAACTTAGAGAAGATTCTTCTTTTGTCCCCAACGTGGTCTGCAAGTGGTTTGTGCAGACTCTCTGTCCCAGGGCTTCAACAGAAGCTCACCCTGGAAGTGAGGCACCAAGCACCCATGGTGGAAAGACCCCACTGTGCCTGGTCCAGGGCTCAGTGAAGAATCAGAGCTGTGTCCCCTTCCCCGGACACCAAATGGATAAATAGAAAAAATATTGTATTGCCTCTATCTGTCCCTGTGAGGATAGAGGTGACCTTAGAAACATCCAGCTATGACAGAGGCAACCCCCCCCACACACACAAAAAAAGATATCTGGCCAACTGCCAGACGTTTTGGCTCTTCCAGACACTGACAAGCTAGAGGACTGTATTTTTCTGAGATGGAAATCCAAATTGAGGAGAAGAAAATAACAGATAATAGAGGCCACTGTCACCGATGTCTGGAAGAAGAGGCAGTCACAGTCCAGCGGTGAGGGAGAAAGGAAAGAGGCATCTCAGGGGACCTCAGGGAGGTGTTGTGACTGCACGTAGCCATGTGGCCTCTTGGTGTTTGTCCCCCAGAACTTTCGGCTAAGTCTCTGTTTCTCTTAAATATTTTCGACGTACGAGTTCTGCAAAGACAGAAGCAAGAGCGAAATCCTTCCCTGACGGAAGAGGCTCAGAGTCTCGGAGGCTGATCAATTTGGACCTTAAATGTGCCCCAGAGGCCCAAGTGTTCAGCTGTCGTCTCAGGGTAGTGCCCTGGAGGTGGTGGGGCCTTAGCAGTAAGGCCGAGCCGGTGGTCTCTAGGTCACCAGGGCCCTCGAAGGGGACTATGGGACCCTGATACTTGTTTTTCTCCTGTGTCCTGGCCATGGGCTGAGCAGTACTCCTCTTTCCACCTTAGCCATTTGGAGCTGCCACCAGACGTCGAAAACCCAAGGGGCCAGCCTGGTCATGGACAGGACCCTCTGAAACTGGGAACCCAAATGGACCTTTCCTTTGTAAGTTGATTATCTCAGGTACTTGCCTGAGAGATGAAAAGCTGCCTGTCTCTGGTCAGAAATGGAATTAAAGGAGCCAATTGACTCCTACCCCTGGGAACCTATGGAGTGGTTCCTGTCTGGCTTCCGATGTCCCTTTCTGAAGTCACACAGTAGGATGCACCAGGATCGGTGCTTGTGTGACTGCCCGAGCTCATGCCCATTTCACAGTGGTGACTTCTTTGCTGGAATAACCTTCTCCTGGGAAAGTCTCCCCTCCAAGAGGGGCTGTCCCTCTGCCGTTTGGGGAGCATCCACAGAGGGCTCTCTTGTTTATTCTAAAGGAAGAGCAGCTCTGTGTTGGGACCTGATGCTTGGTTTATATGGATGACTCTATTCCCCGGGTGGTGACCGATCCTCTGTGTGTGGAATCCAGACATTCTGTGTGTTGCTTCTGGACCTGGAGCCCTCCCTTGCTAGATACCTGAACAGGACTCCATCATGTGGGTCATTTTCTTTCCTCTCCTATTTCATAAAGTGCACAGAAATCTATCTGATGGGCTTGTCTTGCTAGGAAACGTTTTGCATGAGTTTTGTGCATACACGAGGAGAAAAGCATAATGAATGCAGGCTGTTCTGATAATACCCAACTTCATAGGATTTCTCCCCTGCTGCAGGACTGTCACTCTCTCTGGGGCTGACGGGGCTTGCAGAAAGACCACAAGACTCACTTGTCCAAAGTCTGATGTAAACATTTCCGCCCTTTAGCATCTCTCCAAATGTACTCTGTAACCCTCCTCTCTGAGAAGCACTGGTCATATTTTCACATGAGACCTGAAAATAATTTGATCCTTGGTACATTTGTTCTAACCTGCTGTTCTAATCAGTCATACATGACAGTAGAATGCAGTTTGACACATCCCCCATAAACGGAGTATAAATTCTCGTTCTGCTTGTACTTGAGCGACAGAGAATCCAATAACATTGTTCCTGCATCCTGTCCTCAAAGAGCTGAGGATGCCCAGGGAAGGCACTAAAACCATTGGGGATGAAAGTTCTAATACCTGGATGTTGTCAATATTGATAGCTCCCTTGGAAATCCTTCCCACATGCTACTTAGGACACCGTGAGATTTGGGATCAGGTACATCGGCCACTGGTCCCGTGTGATGGGACTTGGCTATTTCAAAGGTCTTCATTTAAGGTGCTTGTTGTGTCTCTGTGACTTGATTTCATGGCATTGTTCTGAGGGCACTGTGCAGACAAGGACCTTATGCCTGAGAAGATTGATGTGTCATTTAGTGTTGTTAAATGACAAGGTGACAAGGGGCAAGTCACTCTTCCTCAGCGGCTTCATTGATTTTTTTGGAAGTCATTCCTCCACAACTCTTTTACATTTCTGTTATCCCTGATTAAACAGTTGGAAATAATCTTCCATGGTATCAAGAATCTCAGAAGATATCAGAACATAAAGTGACATAGACTTCCCCGTGCTCCTGCGTACCTTATCATCTTAGCACGGGAAAATAATTTTCCATACAGTTAAAAAATAAGCACCATAAAAAGTCCTGAGCCATTGCAGATCCTGTGGCCATATTATCTTATCTCAAGGTAGCATTGAAAGTATCGTAATTCTCCTCCATCAATCCAGGTCAGTATACTGCCATAATACTCTAATAATAATGAGAAATATAATGATGACTCCTACTTAGTTTCTTTTTGTACTAGTGTAGCCTTGAGGTTGCATAAAAAAAGCAAATTATGACAGCCTGGTGTTGTAAGTTTTCCAAAGTCTCACGAATAAGATTTGCTTTAACCTTCTAACATGACTGCTTGCATTGTATACTTGAACACCTCTCTTATCTATCTTCAGACTTCTCTATTCCACAGGGGAAGGCAGTCAACCCTAAGAGGAGTCAGATGGCCTGCACTTGAACCCTGGCTCCACTGTCTATCAGCTTTGTGACCTTGGACCAGTTACTTAATCTGTCTCTGCTACAACCTAATGCACCTGGAAGACAAAAATCAGAACAATATAGGCCTCATAGGTTGTATGATTATTTGAGAATTTAATAAAGGTATTTAGACCCAGGTTGTGCAACTTCTTTTCTGTTATCATTCAGCTTTTTGTAATACAGTGTGATACTGGATTGTCCCAAAGGAAATATTTCCTGGATGTTTTTCTCTTTGCCTACTTCAGGTCCCAACTGAGAATCCTGGCCCAATTTACCATGCCATTTGGGATTTGAAAAATGCAGTCCCAAGGAGATGAGTATCCTTGGGTGGTTTAGGTCTCTGGCAGCAGAGTCTTTCCCCTGACCAATTCAGACGCTGACAGAAGACACGTGGTCATTTTCTCTTTGATCTTCACCACTGTAAAGAGCTACTGTGATTCAGCGATATCCATAATTTGCTTCCAATGAATGGGGTAAGTCTCTCTTCCAATAGTCAACATGAGGTTGGCAAGAGAAGGGTTGGAATTTCCTTCTTCATAGAGTGCAATAATAGTGAAATAATAGCATTAGCTTTCTCTTTTTAAAAATAAATATGGCGACCGCACTAGATCAATTAATATTCATTAGCTCATTTAACATCCAAACAGCAATACATATAAATATCAGTTATTTTCTCCAGACAACAGATGAGAAAACTGAGCCTCAAAGAGGCTTAAGTAAATTGCCCCTTCTCATGAGCCACACCACCAGTGTGGTAATGGCCAGTTGCAATACAAAGCCACCATTATCAACTCTGTATACAGTAAGATGCTTCATTTCCTTAAGGACATACTTGTTGAGTTCTTTCTGAATGATATCATTTGTATGTTGGGCTGTTTGCATGCAGTAGACAGATGGGAAGAACTTTCATGGTCCTTCTGAATGGATGAAGGTCCATCATGGACGCCAAGACCAAATGTGCCTCCTCGACCCTGGAGGGACCCAAAGAATGGTGTGACCCAAATTATCCCCACTTTACCTCCAAAGTGTGGTGGTGGGCCACAGAGAAGAACCACACCTTGTCCCTCTCGGACAGACACCGTGCTTCTTGTTTTGGTTTCAAATTCTTCGATATCTTAGAAAACAAAGAAGATTAAGTTTAGAATTGTAGGGAAAACATTCTGAAGGAGAATCTGTAACTTGTTTTTATTAAGAAGGGTAATTTGGATGGTTTAGATCTGAGGTGTCCCCAAAGATCATGTGTGAGACAACGCAAGAATTTTCAGTGGATTAATCCACTGATATGGATTAACTAGGTGGTAATTCTAGGCAGGCAGAATATGGCTGGAGGAGGGAGGTCCCTGGGGGTGTGCCTTTGGGGCTCTCTCTGGGCTTCCATATGGCCATGTCCTAAGCTCCTTTCTCCTCTGCACCCTTCCGCCATGATGGTCTGCCTCACTTGGGCCCCTAGTAATGGATTTGGCCATCTATGGACTGAGATCTCTGAAACCCCATGAGCCCCAAATAAACTTTTCGTCCTCTACATGTTCTTGCCAGGTCTTTTGGTCACAGAAGCAAAAGCAGACAAAAAAACAGTAATGGATACTTGTACTAAATCTTCTGACTGACCCAAAAATTTAGCTGATGATCAGTGTATCTAAAATGACTATTCATTCTCAAAATCTTTATTTTTATTATAACTACATAAAGTGTGTGATAGGTGTCTGATAACATATTACTCACTGTCTGTTTTCTTTCATGCTCCCAGGAAGCCCGTGGCCCAATAGCACATCTTTTAAGGACAGCATATACTTACTCTTCCTGTTCAGGGAAAATGAGATTTCAAAACTCTACAGTAAGTGTGCTGGAGTCTTCTGGCATCTTGAAGTAATGGGTGCCATTTTGACAGGTGGGTGGAGTCTGTGGGAATCTAGGACGCCATCGTGTAAGGGAAAGATCCCCAAGAGCGAGAACCAGGGAGACTGAAACTCTGTTTTCTATTTTCTTTTTATTTCCTCCTTAACAAAGATGCTTCACAGGCTAACTTGGAATGTTGTGACCTCCTACACCAAAGAATTCTGAAATTCAGATTTGGAAGAAAGCTTACTAGCTACTTTGATGAGCTATCCATTTGAATATTCATATTTCAACATTCTTGGAAAATGCTCTTGAGCCTCCAGGAATGGATGGGTAAATTATTGACCTTCTTTGAGCCTCAATTGCTTTACCTGTAAAATCTGCCATTCATTTATTTATTTATTCATTCAATTAATTAAGCACCTACTAAAATACCAGTTTGTTATTAAGGACAGGAAATACATTTGAAAATAAAGCATGCACGTACTGCAATTTTATTGAATGTTAGAGGAGACTAGTTATTAAAACAAATACACAGTTTACAGATCTGAGGTGGAGATCACTAATTGTCTACCAAGATCTAGTCCCCCTTCTTCCAAAGTAGTAGTCTTTTTTAACAAGAGGTTTCCCAGAGCATACAGCCATCAGATTTTATAGAGACATGTGGCAAACAGAAACAATGAATGGAATTCCCATCATTTGACACGTGACCACTATAAATTTTGACCTTCCCCAACCTCTCAACGTTACCACCACCTGGAATGACAATGACATGGGAGCTCCCAGAAACCATCCCTTGGCTATGAAAGAGCCACCCATAGCCTTGGTACATAAGTGACCATACACAGCGGAATCACCGTTGGTTGGAAATACCCACTCCAATTCATCATATCGGACCTAAGGAAACTTCCATCTTGTTGGAGGCACTTAAGTGGGGGCTTCTTTGTTACAACAGTTTAATCTTTTACCTTGAGTAAGGTGTATGGTTAAAAAAAAAAAAGGTAGAGGAGAACATCTGATGTGTGAGATAGAGATCCGGGCAATGGTAACGTGGGGCAGGTTAAATACTCCTTCCATGAAGCAAAACCAGGGCTACAATTCCAGAAGTGGAAAATTCAGAGGAGTGTCATGGTGCTGAACTGAAGCCGGTTTTGATGGTTCATAGTGGGCAAGGCTTCAAAGAGATTGCCATATGATCAGGCACTCGGGGCTACTATCATAAATCAGCATTATATTAAAAATGCAAAGGGAATACCTGCAAATTAAATCCAAGTGGATAGACTTAACATCATAGTGTTACCAAAAAAAAAAAAAAATAGTTGGTGGATATTGCTCTGACATTATCCCACTTCCAAAAAAGAGAGATAAAAGCCTAAATATGAGCATCTCATGAAATTGGCACAGTGTGAGTTCAGTTATATAATGGATCTTTAAAAATTATTCACAGGCTTTATCTTAAAGGACTGAAGGAGAGACACAGGAGTGGAAATCACTACATCTGTACATACATATTATTAGCTTATAAAATTGTGTAAAGAGTATGCAGCATATTACGAACATTTTTTAGGTGCGTTTATTTTGAATAGGCTCGCTATGGTATACTATGGAGAAATTATTGGTATTACTTAGAGGAATCCAAAAACTCTATTGAGATATCTTAAATTTGCATAATCCAGGAGTTATATAGCTAAGTAAATGTTTTAATCAGCTTTTTCGCTGCTGTGACTGAAAGACCCAACCAGGACAACTGAGGAGGAGGAACAGTTCATTTGAGGGCTCAGGGCTTCAAGGGTCTTAGTCCACAGAAGGCTGGCTCCATTCCTTGGGGCTCAAGGTGAGGCTGAACATCATGGCGGGAGACAATGGCGGAGGAAAGCAGGTCACACCACGGTGACCAGGAGGCAGAGAGAGAAACTCCACTCTCCAGATACAAATATATACCCAATGCCACCCCCCAATGCCTACCTCCTCCAGCCACACCCACCACTTCAGTTACCACTCAGTGAATCCCTAAAAGGGGATCAAGTCACTGATTGGGTTAAGGCTCTCACAACCCAGTCATTTCTTCTCTGAACCTTCTTGCACTGTCTCACATGTGATCTTTGGGGGGACACCTCACCTCCAAACCATCACAGTAAAGTCATAAAGGCTATGAACTATCTGAACCATGAACAGAGAAGGCAGGCAAGTTTCAAATTGATCAGAACAGGGTTCATCAGCCTATAAACAGTCTTTAAGGTTGCAGGGATGGATGGAATTCCCATGGGATCATTCTCCAATTTTTGACATGGACAAATTGTTGAACCGCTGGTGAAGATCAAACTGTGAAAATCTCCATCATTTAGAGGTAGAGAGGAGGACCACTGATCAGAGAGAGAGAAGGAAGGAGGAGGTGGGTACAAAGAGAGTGTATAGATAGTAACACTAAGGGGTGAATAAGATGTAGGAATGAACCAAGTTGCTGCTCTCATGTGATCCCGGAAAAATAACCTCCGTGGAATTTTGGAAAGAAACTCATCCCAAGCAGTTGGCAGCAGGGGATGAGGAAGTGGATGAGATCGGCAACTCCTGCCCATGCCGTGAGTGGTGAGATTTAGGAAGAACAGGAAACGGGTCTGGAGGACAGAGAACTATACCGACAGAAATGATAAAGAAGACATTAATGACTGAGAAGCTCAGGGTGCTTGGAAAGCTGGGTAGCTGGTGATCAGAGCCCAGGGGCAGGACTAACCCTTGTTAAAGAAAGATGAACCAGGACAACAGATACCCGCGCTAATGGGAGATGACTGCAGGCGTGTTACTAGTTAGAGGAAAAAGTTTAAAAATTCTCAAATGAGCCTGGTGTGATGGGATGGCATACGCCTGTCATCCCAGCACCTGGGGAGGCTGAGGAAGGAGGATCGTGAGTTCAAAGCTAGCCTCAGCAAAAGTGAGGCCCTAAGCAACTCAGTGAGGCCCTGTCTCTAAATAAAATACAAAATAGGGCTGGGGAGGTGGCTCAGTGGTTGAGTACCCCTGAGTTCAATCCCTAGTACCACCCACCCCCACCAAAAAAACTGAAATGACACTGATAAGACAGCATTGGAGGGGTCACTTTGGATGTTACAGGATGCAATAAACATACCTATTTGATAGGGCTGTCATTGGGACTAAATAAAAAATGCATTAAAGGACTCTAGATGGCAGCTTGGAATGCAGTGGGTACTCAACAGTGATTACCACCCTACAGCATTCCAAGTGGAGAGGGCAAACCGTCGTATCTTCCTCTGACAGATATGAAGTCCAGATATCCCTATCCACAAGTACACCCTGAGCAGCACATTCTGGTCCCAGTCAAATATCTTGGAGCTGGAGGATGCTATTTGAAACATCCACAGTTTATTTCTCTTGACTGCATTATTTTCCAAATAAGTGTACTTGGGTCACAGAGCTGTCTTCAGCATGTAAACAGCCTGATGAATTTGATGCACTGGGTCTGACATATAAATCTGTCAACTCTCAGGGTGGCTAGTTTTAATAATTAAAAAAAAAAAAAAACTAAGGTGGACTGTATTCTCTCCGACTATACTTCTTTCCCTTTTCCATCTCCTTTTGAGCCTTAGGCATTAGATAATGTATGATAATTCAGGAACTGGCATGTTTTTTTTATACTTTATTTAGTATGTTCTATGGATTGAACCCAGGGGTGCTTAACCACTGAGCCACATCCCCAGCTCTTTTTAGGTTTCATTTAGAGACAGGGATCTTGCTGAGTTGCTTAGGGCCTTGCTAAGTTGCTGAGGCTGGCTCTGAACTCGCGATCCTCCTGCCTCAGCCTCCGAAGCCGCTGGGACTACAGGCGTCCACCATCATACCTGGCTTTATAAAAGTATTTAAATTTCTACGCACTCCTTTTGTTCTTTAGTTTTGAAAAAATTGGAATCAGCCTACTATGCAGATGCTGTCAATATGAATTACTGGGACTGGGCTGGGTGGAGGTCCCTGGTAGAGGGCTTGCCTAGTATGTTAGAGGCCCTTGGGTTCAGTAAAAAGCAGTGCTGAGAAATAAAAAGAAAATAACTACCACCTCAACTTGTGAGTCCTTTAATGACTTGGGTTTGCATTTATATAAATGGGACTCCTTAAGAAAAATCAGCCCAATACACTCTATTTTAAAATCAGAAATCAATATATTGAATTCACTGTTTCTATGTCTAGTAGTTATAACAGGTGACAATTTTAAGGGTTTTTTTTTTTTCCCCCTTACTATTATTTTTGAAAGGTGCCATGAAATTGTCA